AAACTTTTGTCTTGATATTCTAATCTTACGGTCTAACTCTGCGTATGTTGCGCGTCAAAATATAATTGAATATAGTTTGAGAATACTTTCCCTCAATAGTTAGATTCTTGTTTATTTTCTTTTTGAATTTGTTAAAATTTGAAATTAAATCTAAAAAATAATATGTTGAAAAAAGAGTCACAAATAAATGATGAAAATATTTAACGTATGGTCATACAATCAGGGCCGTGCAAACCGTATTACCAAAAAGGTAACTGCCTTAGGCCCCAATTAATTAGAAAAATTTTAGGGCCCATTTTAAAGATTTTTAATACTTAAATAGATGAAAAATCTCTACTTCACTGTTATTTAGGCTAAATTTTAGGGCTCCATTTTAGAAGTTGTTTCATCTTACTTTATAATATAGGTTGTTTTTCGTTTTATCTTTTGTTTAACTTTTTTTATTCAAAATATTTTGTCGCATAATTTCTTAACCCATTTAATTTTTTTTATGTGTTACTAAATTAGTTTCTAGCTTTACATTTAATCTACTCACATTAGTAAAAATGATGAAGATCTGCACAATCTTATAAATACTAGTGTTATAATATGAACTATTTATGACTGATATATAATAAACACTTATTATAAAAAATATTATATACATTTTATCCACTATTTTGAATACTACTTTATAAAAAAATTATATACTATGTTTTTAAATTTAAATTAATTTTTATTATCAAATTCTGCCTTGGACCCCCAAATAGCTAGGCACGGCCCTGCATACAATGAAGGAAAGCAACCACTCGTTCACGATGGATCGGTGAACGATATCTATGGAATCGAGGGACAATTCATTGACGAGCTCGCAAACGTGATGGGTGGACCAAGCGGCCGATTTAGGGCTGGCCGGGCTGAAGAAGCTCATGCCTTCTTCTTTGCCCTTCTTCGATGCCAGTATTGTCCATTACATTTACAAACCCATTGCCTTGCCAGCCAATTTCAACGGGGCATGCCTCCACGGGGTCTTTAGCGACTATTTAGACGTTGTGGCTCACATGTACTTTTTATGGTCCCTGCCATGATTGGCTACACAACTTTTTTACTATGTTTGCATATTTCTTGTAGGATGTCCAATATGGTTTTTAGTTTGGATATTTGTTTTTTGAAGTATATAAATCAAACATAAAACGAATATCATTAAGTTGTGTTTTAGTGGGTTTACTTTTTACAATTTACGATTTTTATGGACATGGAAAGAAAAAAAAAAACCCTGTTGTTTTGTTTTCTCTCTTTAGTTTAATGTTTTGGAGTATCTTTCGAATGGACATTCGATTAATTGTTTTCTACTTATAATTGGTTTTAAACTCCTGATGCGCTGGATAGTCAACCAGGGTTTTTCAAGTAGCAGGTTTCAGACCAAACATCGATTGCTCTATACTAGAGATTAGCATTCCCAAAAGAAAACTAAAACCACTGTTCATGGGCCAAAACCCTGAAAATAGGACGATCTTGGCTTTCTTCGCAAGAAGAGCTCACGGCTACATAAGACAAGTCTTGTTCACTAACTGGAAAGGTAAAAAATAAAGACATTCAAGTATATGACAGTCTTACAAAGGGACAAAACTAATTGATTGGGCATAGCAAGGTTTGTCTTTGTCCTAGTGGCTACGAAGTGGCTAGCCCAAACGAGGTTGAAGCCATCTACTCAAACTGTGTCCCCGTTGTGATATCGGACAACTACTGACTCCCATTTAATGACGTGCTTGATTGGAGCAAGTTTTCAGTTGTAATTCCAGTCGAAAAGATAGCTGAGATCAAGAAGATTTTGCAAGAGATTTCACATGAAAAGTATTTAAGAATGTATAAAAATGTAATCGAGGTTAGAAAACATTTTGTGGTGAACCGCTTGGCTCAACCGTTTGATGTGATCCACATGATACTTCACTCCGTTTGGTTAAGGAGGCTTAACATTAGATTGCCTTCTTGAATGTAACCTTTTAATGCTTTTTATACAACAACTTCAAAAATGTTGTCGCGTTAGTATACCTTTTGCTTATTTTATTTTTGTTGTTGTTAACACTTTTTGGTTAGAAAGTTTAAAATTTGAACTTCCTTATATATAATCACTAGATTATGGTTCGCGTAACGCGCGAGTTTTTATCTTAAAATTTTGTTAGTTATTATGACGAAAATATTAACTAATCTAGTAGTTTTATATTTATAACAGACACAACAACCCTTTTTCGTAGATATAAAATAATATTTGTTTTGAATTGAAATGAAATTAATTGTTTCTCTTATTCATGTTGTATGAAAATATGAATTGATGCTCACTCATTTTGACATCGAACGATATTTCTATTTGAAAATAAATATGTTAACAACATATTTAGCAAACTTAATATTTGACAGTTTTTAACATGCTTCATATTGTTCCAATTTAATTGTTAACAATATGAATATTTGAATTACTTCAATTTTTAAAATAAATCAATATGAAGATTAATATAAATGCAAACTTATTGTATAAAATGATATATTGTGATGCGGTCATCAAACCAAGCATCTACTAAAATCAAGTGTCCAAGCTCAAGGAAACCCTA